CCAACCTGGATTTATCATCAGTTCCTTCAACCTCCCTGGACTCTTTCCTCAATCGGATAAGGAAATTCTTCAAGGATTCTCCATGCTTCTGTCGTACTGAGGCCAAGTGAGTGAAATGCTTCTTGGGACGGCAGTTCCCGGCGAAATGCTTTAGGAACCGTAGTCCCAATTCATCCCATGTCCGGATTGATCCGGCAGGGATATGGTTGACCCAGTCTGCAACCTTGCTATCAACGGTCTGCAAGAAGCACCGACACATGAGTGCGTCACTGACGTCCACGGCGATCATCACTTGGACATAGCTATTTATGTGCTCTTGGGGGTCTGACTCGCCGTCATAACGCTTGACAAATGGCATCTTGAATCCCTGCGGATATGGTTCCGCAAAGATCTCCGGAGCCAAGGGAGTATTCGTTCGAGTAGTGAATACTCGACCCTTATTAATCTTCTTCTGCATCTCCTGGATCTGCTGCCTCAGATCCTGGAACTCACCGGCTTCCGGTATCGGCGGTCCCAGACGCCGTGGCGCTGGGACCCTGACTTGGCTTTGAACCTCATCCTCCTCTAGATTCCCCAATGACCGGACCAGTACTTGGCTCGCACCACGGCCATTTCGCTGTCGTGGTTCACGGTTAGAAGACGCCACCTGGCTAGCCGGGGGCCGTCTCCAACCCTGGGGTGCCTTTTCCGGATTCTTCCCCAGCCTCTCACTAACGTGAGCTTTCTGGCGAGATATCCTTTCAAAGACAGATCCCCGTGGGTTTTTGTTTCCCTCGCAGATGATCCGGCTTGCATCCTTAGCCCGGCCTTCATTTGCCTTGCTATTCTGGGCCATCTCCTCTGCCCGGCGTCTGTCAATGGCTTGCCTCTCCCTTTCAACGTCCTCCGGATCATGGAGCTCCTGGAGGATAGGAGAACTTGCAGTACGCAAGACCTGGCGAGGTTGCCCGGCAAGGACGTCCCGGGTACCGGATGGTCCTGGAAGAGCCTTATCCAATCGTTCCATAATGTTGGCCATCATGTTAGCCACATTATTTAGTGCCGTTTCCAGCCCATTGACAGGAACGATCATACCCTGTTCAGGGTTGTCACTCCTCACCGTCGATTGGGCGGAAGCAGCAAGGTTACGTCTCGTCCTTCGTCCGGCCATAATCTCACAACCTTATCTCACAGTAAAAACTCTCAATGGAAGCACCAATGATGGGATTAACCCGATCAGATGGCGGACCAAGAACGGAATATGAATTTAAGGAGATATAATCACTCGATAATATTCTTTGATTGTGTATTCAACTGTCGTGTGGTGACCTCCTTTACAATGGCGGGTTTTCCCCCTTTTTATAGTACTTCTAATATTCCAATTAAAATTATACAAAATGGAAATGGATTATGGAGATCATGGGGTTGTGATCCCCCTTCTTTCCGGTCTCGTTCTCTTCCCATTTCGCCCACAACTTGATGATGTGGGCCACGTGTCCCATTCCTCCCTTGGACTGGGTCACCTTGATCTATCCCATGTTTGGGCCGTCTTCCTTTACTTGCCATATGCGAGATAACGGGCTTGGCCCGTCATCCCCATCTGATCTTATTCCTTTTGGGCTATTATGGGCCTTCATTTAGGCCTGGAGTCGGGTCTACCAGACCCGATATCCATCAGGAATAATTACTTATTAGCATAACAAAAAATTAACAAAGTCTGCATTAAAGATTGTAGCATACAAGCCTTCACAAATTACAACTAGCCCATCATGACTCTCCAAATACAAATGCATCCCCTCCAATTCCAAAGCGATGCTTGTATTAGCTAAATGCTGGAATGTATATGTGAGATAGTCCAAGATTATGAGTTCATCATCATAGTCTTCTCACTTTTATAAATCCTTAGCTTCAAAGTTTTGTACATTCTGACAACTTCAACTTCAGCTACATTCTGACATGTTTAAATAAATGTGCACATTTACACTTGATAAAACACACCGAAGCATAGACAGAACAAGTATGGTTATATACGCATGTAACCAAAAGGGGAAGAAAACAAAGACAAGTAGACAACATTTGGTAAATAAGTCAACTCAGGGAAGTAAAAAATGTGAAGTATTAAACCATAAAAGAATAGTATGACGGTAAATATTGTTCCCGCAAGTTTCAGGATATCCATCCTAGAAAAATAGCAACACCACTTGATATAGCAACAACATTAAAAATCAGAGACATTGATGAGTTTGTTTAGTATGCTATGAGTAAGATTATATGAGCAGATCATATATGAATCATACCTACAAAATCTAAGCACATGTAAAATTCGAGAAGGTAGAAGATATACTCCCTCCGTCCCAAAAAGATTTACACGTTTCAAAAAAATTACGTCCCACAATCCCTTACCCATTTCTATTAAAAACTCACTTTTACCCTTACCTTTTCAAACCCTACCTATCACATCATACCTTTTTCCTAATAATCTACACATCACATCCTACTTTTATCCATCACATCAAGGATATTTTTGGAAAGTCAACACAAAATTATCCCTCCCTTAATTTCTACTTTGGTCAAAATGGGTAACACTTTATGGGATGGAGGGAGTATAACGGAGCAAAAAACTGTTGGTTTGAGGTGCCCAACACCATCTAATTTCCAACCTAAAATTACACCTTAAATTGAAAATAATTTATCATTGTATAAAAGTATTATTCATCAAAAATCAAATATCCAAAAAATCAAACCTCACCAAACTAATCAATTAATCTATATACAAACAATATTCACACTTTCAAAAATCTCTAAAAAATTGGAAATCAATAATATATGGAATACAAAGAAGATTATTAGGGATTTGGATTAGAGATGGATTGGGTGCACCTCGTCGGAAATAGACAGCGGCAGTGGCTGGGAACTTGATAGGTGAGCGTCGAGATAGCGACCTAGAGCTCTGGTCGGAGTCTGTAACTCTGTGGACCTAGTGTTTTGGTTATAACAGGGAAAGAAATTGAAGGGATTAGCTACCCAAGGCTGGAAGCAACTACTCCAGGGACTTGGAGTTCTGGCGAGAATAAGCGAAAAGGTTGAGGGATTAGAGCTATGCATTAAAGATATTTGGGGAGAAATGAAAGTTATTGAAGATCAAGAATTCTTAAGCTGTGTGATTTTTTTTAGGGTATACAACTACTAGGCTATATGCCGTAAGAAAGCAACGGAGGTTATTGTCAAAGAGGACAGATAAAGGAAAATTTTGACATGTACAACGTTGTCTAAAGCATAAAAGTACAAATACTTCGTATATTGGATGGAAAAAGTGCATCTTTACCCACGGGTACCAAACCCTCTCTCTCATCTATATACTCCCTCCATCCACCTAAGATCTTTCCATTGCACGTTACGAACTGAGGCTTGACCGACTTTATTTTCAATTTGATTTATTTGAATATAGGGGTAAAATTTTAATGTAAAATATATATAGTAATAAACTACATGAAAGGTTCTACAAAATTAGAGGTGACAAGACTATATTATTTTGTAAAATGAGTAGTAAAAATGAGTAAACAAAGTGAATTAAGTTTGACCATGTGAATAGTGTCTGAGAAGATCTATGGTGGACAGAGTGAGTATTATAGAAAGATTTGTCAATTGGTCTTCTAGAATTGTGACATGTGGCGTACTTATTAGGCAATTTTTTTGACATGTTAGCACGCAATTTCAGCAAGTAATATTTAAACAATTAGTTGACAAAAAAACTTATTCTATGGAAATTAAATTTCATATTTGTTACACAATGACTAGAGATCGCAAGATACTCCATCCGTCCTAAAATTAACTTCCTTATTTGATTTTTCGGGGTATCTAATACTCCCTCCGTCCCTTAATAATGTTCCGTTTTTGACTTTTGGAGGAATTAAGGGAGAGATATTTTTGTGTTGACTCTCCAAAAATACCCTTGATGTGATGTGTAAAAGTAAGATGTGATAAGTAGATTATTAGTAAAAAAGTATGATGTGATAGGTAGGGTATGAAAAAGTAAGGGGTAAAAGAGGTTTTTTAGGGGAAAAGAGAAGTTTATTTAGGGACAAAGAAAAAACGAAAGAGTAACTTTATTTAGGAACGGAGGGAGTACAACACTTTGACCATTAGTATCTCAATTTACATACAAATATATATTTTCAATACTATGTTTCAGAATGAAAGTGTAAAAATAACATTTTCTTGTACAATGTTTTTCTCTTTTTTTCATCTTTCCATCCAAACAAACTAAAAGAAATTACTCCATCCGTCTCTAAAATCTTTCTTATTTTGTCTTCCTTTGGTGACACTCTTTGATTATAAATTGTGTAAAAAATATATTAAATTATAATATAAATTTAAAATAGTTAAGGTCATATTAGGATATAGTTTTGATGCATATACAATTTTTATAACATTTATTTATATAGATTATGATTAATTTATTATCAAAGAATATCATTGTTTGACAAAAGGGAGAAAGACCAAAGTGGGACTAAAACATTGAAAATATACAAAAATAAGAATTCCATGTTTTCATTCCCGAAATAGGACTTACATTACCAAACATGGTCATATACATTACCAAAAAAGTATAGTAATGTGTGCATTTACACTGCCACATGACCACAGTGCAAAGTCACATTACCACAGTGCAAAGTCCTATTTCGGGAAAAAAAACATGATAGTCCTATTTTGGTACTTTTTTCTATGTTTTAGTCCTATTTAGGGTAATTTCTATTGACAAGAATATTTAAAGAAGGAAAATTTTAAGGGAGGGAGAAAGTATTTTTATTCGATTAATTTATTTCCTCCCTATTTTACCTATGGAAATTTAAAATCCCTTTTTTTCTTTCCTTTCTCCGGGTTTGTTTCCTCTAATTTTCCTTCTTTGCAACCAAATAGTCAAATACGGAGTATAAAGTTTACAAAGTTAATTGGAAATTTGTGCCGTACGTGGGTTAACTAAAATTTCTAAAGACGAAGTATTATATTCTTCCAAATCAGACCAATCACCACCGACTCCGTCTATGTCTCTATTTAATTTAATTTTCTCCTCCCCGCCGCCGTGCAAACCAAACAACCGTCGCGCGCGACTGCCGACTAGTCCCCTCCGGCCACCCGTTTTGTTTCTCATTGCAGCTAGCCCGGCCCTGATGATGGTGATTGAATGCCTTCCCCAGATTTCTCATCTCTTATGTTCTGTCTTCAATCTGCAGGATCCTCCAAGAAGAGGAAAAGCATCGATTGGTCAACTTCTAGATGACATCTTAATTGACATTCTCAGTAGGCTTCCTGCAGACACTGTTTTACGATGTCGCACGGTGTGTCAGGACTGGAGAAGTTTGACATTGTCCCATTATTTCACCGGGTTGCAAGCCGAAAGAGCTCCTTCTGTTGTCATTGTGCAAGGTATACAATTGGGACTTCACAAGAAATCTGATGATTACTATATTTATGATGCAGTTTCCAAAAAGTTGAGACACATTCCTTTCAATCTCAACATCTACAAAGGGTTTTATTTTCCATCCTTTCGCGGTGCATGTGGCGGTCCGTTTCTTCATCTTAAAAGTTACGCGACGCTTTGGAAAGATGGTACAAACATCTTTTCCTCTCATCCAATCAAATGCGACTTTGTTTTCAACATCATCACTCAACAACTTCTAGGAGTTCGGTCTGAACTCCAAGACTTTGTGTGTGGTGTTTACTTTCACAAGGCGACAAATGAATGCAATTACCTGTGCGTGCGTCGCGTTTCTGCCGAGGAGAGGTGTTTTCAGTACTTTTCATACAACATCGTTTCGCGCACCACGAAGAAAATTGCTTGTAGTCGTTTCTCTTGCAGGCAAGACGCAAACAACTATCCAGTAGCTTTAAACGGAGCGCTCCATATGATGACGTGCGACGATTGCATGCATGCAGTGTTGGTATTCGAGATCGACTCGCGAAAACTCTACGCTTTGCCACACCCAGAAGTTGAATGTGTTGATGGGCAAGTGGATAGTCATAAGCTCATGACTTTGTTTGTTCATGATGGACACTTGGGCATGTGCCATGCACGTGACTTAGGAGTGGGACGTTTCGACATATGGATTCTGGAGGATTATGCGAAATGGCGCTGGGTTCGAAAGGCCAGGTTTACTCTTCGAAAGCCGAGGTTTGGCCTTGATACTATGAGGGATATGCTTGTGGGTGGTTGTTTCATGGTTTCGAGCGTCGGAAAGGACGAGTTGTTTATAGGTTGGTTTTCACGTTTGTTATTGGTTGTCAATGTGAAGGAGCAAAGTATTAAAGAAATTAAAGTGCCACATAAATTGAAGTCGGCCAATATTCGTCGTTGTGCTGCTTACACCAGTAGTCTCGTGACTCATCATGGTTGGTTAGGTTAATTAGGACCTCATGCCAAATCTGCAACACTTTCAAAGGCAACTAGTTCCAAATGAATGTTCTTTATTACTAAATTTTCATGATTAATGATTATAAGTAATTATCAATGTATGATTTAAACTTTTTTATTTCCTAAATAGAACTTAATAATGTCTAGTAAAAGAATTAATGTCCACCTTGTCCAAGTGGACAGTTACTTGAATAATAACTAATGAATTTTGACCAATGATCATATCCTACATTGATAAATAAAAATATATAGTCCTATATTAAAAAAGTCATTATATTTTATTCTTATTTAGGTAAAGTTTTTCTTTCCATTGTAAACTATCTATGTGGTACTCGATTCATCTAAGAGTTTGTTGTTACGTTGTTACGTTGTTATTTATTACAAAATGTGATATGAATCTAAATCGGGGCGACACAAGGAGAAAATCGGCGACACAAGGCTCCCTTCGGCGATTCACTTTTTCCGGCCAATATGGCCGGCCAACGGCCGCCGGATCCCTCCCATCACCCTCCTGACGTCCCGGCGATTCCATCGAGCCATCACACGCCGGAAACCACCACTGGAAACGTCCCAGGCGCTGTAGCGATCGTGGCGGCTCTGCCACCATTTTTTCCGGCATCTACAGGTCCCGGCGGTGATCCCCTTTCATCTCAAGTTCTTCCCCTTCCTCAGACGACTCCATCGCACCCATTTGCAGCCTCATCAGGCGCTGGAATGGGGTGCACCAGTGCTGCGGCCATGGCGGGTCTTCCCGTCGGGTCGCCACCTCCTTCTCTGTTTCCAGGGCAATACTGCGTCGCGCAGCTCCCCCACGTGCCTCTCCCGGTCTTTACGAGTGCAGCAAGCCATGCTCCATCAATTTTGGTGACCGGTAGCTCTGGTTTCAGTTCCGGCGAACCTCACACGGCGCTAATGGCATCTTAGTTGCCCAACTCTTTCTCTCCGGTTGTGCCCCTGTCCCAAGCAGTTACATTTGGTCCTTACACTCCCATGATGGTTTCACAACAGACCTTGAACGTGGAAGGCAGCGAAAACATGTTGGTTGCACCCATGGCTCACAATTCCACTTGCGCACCAGGTGTTTGTGGAAATGTCTCAATGACTTTTCCCACTCCTTCGCCAGATTTCCTAAAGGTCAAGGTCCCTATCAACTCTCTTAACTATTTTAATTGGCAAGACATCCCTGGTGCAGTTCTTAAAGGTTTGGTAGATTCGGAGCATGTCATAATGCATGTTCCTGTGCCATCATTGTCTCACTACCAACGCCTTAATGTCCCGGGGGCTGTCACCCTTGCGTTAGTTGGACCAAATGGATGCCCCTACGGTGAGTACCCAGATGGGGAGGTGCTTCGACCCATTGCTAACCCCCATGTGTTTAAACCCATTAATTTGGAGCTTCCTCGTGAAAAAGAAGCACGACTTGCCCAAGAAGCTGCAAAACGAGCTGTGCATGATCCCTCCACTATGAATGAGGCGCTGGTCCAGTTTTCAAAAGCACAAATCAGCATTTTAGGCCCTGTTTCTTTGCATGAAGCTACGGCAGTAGATACTGCTCCAACGTCCATGCATGCACCTCATGCTCAAGCACGGCCGGGGGGAAAAAGGGGTTACTTTTGCTCCTCACTCTACTGCACCTATGGAAAGGCAAGGAGTTCTCTCACAAAAATTGGTTGCCATCACATCTAAGAGTGCTACGGCAGTAGCAACTCCACGACAAGAAGGTCCACACGGCATACCTAAGTCTTCCTTTGCCCAAGTCGTGGCTGGTCCTTCTATGGCTGGCACGTCAAAATCCTTTGCACAAGCACTCACTAGCTCAACCAATCCAGGTATTTCTTTACGGGCCACTGCCTCCCGCCCATCTGCTATTTTACCAAATGTTGTTGTTGAGGATAAGAATCCCACATTTCATAGGGGTACTCCCGGAGTTGTTTTTAAAAAGTCTGAAATGCAAAGACTTTCTCAATTGGATAATTTTCTTCTTATTGGTAAATTTTCACATGGTCATCCTGAGATTGCCACATTGAGAAAGTTTTTTGCTGAAAAATTTCTTCTTCGGGAGTCGGTTCAGATTAGTCTTCGCGACCCACGTCATGTTATGCTTTTATTCACCCATCCTCTTGACTGTAATGATATATTCATGCTTGTTGCAAGCCTTTGTGCCCACTTCTTCCCATCCCTCCCCGAATGTTGTCATACCTGATGCTTGCTTAGTTCCTTCTACTGTTGTTAACGCCACTCCTCCCACATCGGTTGTGGTTGAACAGTCGGCGTCTCAGGCTTTAGAGCCATCTGTTCCTCCTACCGGAGTTGAGCAAGGCCCCGTTGTTGCTTCTCTTCCTCTCTCTACTTCTTCTTCTTCTATTGTACATGTTCCCGATCCTCAACTTCCCGAGCTGGCTCTGGCTATGTCTAATACTTTTGATGCTTTGGGGGAGATGCCTGGGGACAGTCATGAGGACTGCGACTTTAATACTGTTGCATCCTCCATTCCTTCCGATTCGGTAAGGAAGGAGGATGACGATTGTAGTTCGCAGACTAGTGACGGGTCCATGGGTGATCATTTTGAGGATCTGACTGACATTGCCCGGGATCTTGCAGCGAGTGGTGTCTCTCCTGCAAGGGAGGCTCCGACCACAAGGGGTAAGTCGGCTAAAAACGCTCGAAAGGCAACAGAGCACAAGACGGGGGTGCCTCCTGCTCCACGCAGAGTCACCCGTTCCACTTCTTCTCATTCTCAATGATGATGCGGTTCCTTGTTTGGAACGTGAGGAGCATCACCTCACAGGATGTCCTTTCTAAGCTTCGAATTTTACTTAAGCAGCACACCCCAGTGTTGTTAGGTATTTTGGAGCCTATGAAGGCATCCTCGCAAATTGACTATTATAGGACACTGTTGGGTTTCACGGGAGCTAGGTGTGGTGCAGATGACCAAATCTCGCTCTTTTGGAACTTTGACATTGCGCCGTCCATTCATTTTATTTCTTATTTTGCACAGTCACTAACCTTTTCTTTCTCTCACCCTTCTTTTCCTAACCCTCTTTGGTTGTCAGTGGTTTATGCAAAATGTAAGTACAGGGACAGGGAGCCATTGTGGGAATATCTTCGAGAGACACACGCCGCTCTCCCGGCTGACATGGCATGGGGGTTGTGGGTGATTTCAACTGTCTGCTCGATCCCTCGGAGAAGAAAGGAGGCCGGCCGTATGCTCCAGTCAAATATCGGCCTTTTGTTGAATGTGTGGAGGATTGTGAACTAGTTGATTCTCCTTTTATTGGGGAGGATTATACCTCGTTCAACAATCGAGTGGGCGGCGTGGAGGTTCGGAGCCGGCTTGACCGATTGCTGTTTAACCAGTCGTGGATGGATATGTTCTCTTGTTTGGTGCATCACTTGGATAGAGTTGGATCTGATCATGCTCCTCTGTTGGTGGAGTGTAAGTCTCATGAACGTCCTCCTGCACGGCCTTTCACTTTCCTTAATGTCTGGACAGAGCACGAGGATTTTCAGAGAGTGGTGGCTGATTCTTGGCGGGAGGACATTACTGGCAGTCCCATGTTCGTATTTGGTGCAAAGCTCAAGCGTCTGGCACATAGCTTGAAGATATGGAACCGAGACACCTTCGGTCACATCTTTGACAGCTTGAAGCGTCTGGGGCCTTTTATAAGGCCGCTTGGACGATCATTTACATGGACTTATTGGCGATGGTGAAGGCTTTTTTCTTGGGCCACGATCTGACTCGTTCTCTCACGCATACTTCTATTGTTTTGTTGCCCAAGAAGCCCAATCCTATGACCTTTGCGGACTTTAGACCCATCAGTTTGTGTAATTACTGCAAGAAGATCATCACGAAGATTATGGTGGTTCGCTTGGCTTCTGTGCTTCCTCGGTTGCTCTCCCCACATCAGAGTGGGTTTGTGGCGGGGCGTTCTATCACTGATAATATTCTTTTGGCCCAGGAGATGTGTCACGGGATGCGGGTGGATAATGAAGATGTCATTCTGAAGCTGGATATGATGAAGGCCTATGATCG